CTGTTAGTATTTGTTTCACATATAATGGTGCTCCTGTATTGGGTGCATATATGTTTATAATGGTTATATCCTCTTGTTGGACTGAGCCCTTTATCATTATGTAATGTCCTTCTTTATCTCTTGTTACTTTCTTTGTTTTGAAGTCTATTTTGTCTGATAGTAGTATTGCAACACCTGCTTTTTTCTCCCTGTTGCTTGCATGAAATATCTTTTTCCATCCCTTGACTTTTAATCTGTGCATGTCTTTGGGTTTGAGGTGAGTCTCTTGTAAGCAGCATATAAATGGGTCTTGCTTTTTTATCCATTCTATTACTCTGTGTCTTTTGATTGGTACATTCAGTCCATTTACATTTAGGGTGATTATTGAAAGATATGTACTTATTGCCATTGCAGTCTTTAGATTCGTGGTTACCAAAGGATCAAGATTTGCTTCTTTACTACCTTACTGTCTAACTTAACTCGCTTATTGAGCTATTATAAACACAATCTGATGATTCTTTATTTCTCTCCCTTCTTATTCCTCCTCCTCCATTCTTCATATGTTGGGTGTTTTGTTCTGTGCTCTTTTTAGGAGTCCTTCAATCTAGAGCAGTCCCTCTAAGATACCCTGTAGAGGTGGCTTGTGGAAGGCAAATTCCCTCAACTTTTGCTTGTCTGGGAGTTGTTTAATCCCTCCTTCATATTTAAATGATAATCATGCTGGATACAGTATCCTTGGTTCAAGGCCCTTCTGTTTCATTGAATTAAATATACCATGCCATTCTCTTCTGGCCTGTAAGGTTTCTGTTGAGAAGTCTGATGATAGCCTGATGGGTTTTCCTTCGTAGGTGACCTTTTTTCTCTCTCTGGCTGCCTTTAATACTCTGTCCTTGTCCTTGATCTTTGCCATTTTAATTATTATGTGTCTTGGTGTTGTCCTCTTTGGGTCTCTTCTGTTGGGAGTTCTGTGTGCTTCCGTAGTCTGAGCAACTATTTCCTCCCCCAGTTTGGGGAAGTTTTCAGCAATTATTTCTTCAAAGACACTTTCTATCCATTTTTCTCTCTCTTCTTTTCTGGTACCCCTATAAAGCAGATATTGTTCCTTTTGGATTGGTCACACAGTTCTCTTAATATTGTTTCATTCCTGGAGATCCTTTTTTCTCTGCATTAGCTTCTATACGTTCCTGTTCTCTGGTTTCTATTCCATCAATGGCCTCTTGCATCTTATCCATTCTGCCTATAAATCCTACCAGAGATTGTTTCATTTCTGTAATCTCCCTCCAGACGTCATCCATTAGCTCTTGTATATTTCTCTATAGCTCTGTCAGCATGTTTATGATTTTTATTTTGAATTCTTTTTCAGGGAGACTGGTTAGGTCTGTCTCTGCAGATCCTCTCTCAGGGGTTGTCTGAACTATTTTGGAGTGGAGTAAATTTTTCTGTCTTTTCATGGTGATAGCAGTGGCTGTAGGCAGGTTGAAGGTGTGTCAGCTGGGAGAAGAAAGTCCTTTCCTGCTTGCTGGATGCCTTGCCCTTCTCTGCTGCCTGTGTCAGTTGCCCACATTCCTGGAACAGCCACTGGGTTAGTCCCCTAAGCTGCTGTGGACAGGGTCTCCATCAGAGCAGCACAGAGCCCTGCGGGGAGTGGCAGGCATGCCAGGTGCACTCCCCCAATAGTGGTGCCCCTGCTAGGCAGCTGTGTACCAGCAGCAGCCTTTGGGTCTGGCTTGGGCAGCTGTGCATCAAGCTGGGATTCCAATCGGCTGTTGGGAGCATGGCTGCTCCCTCTGGCAACCCTGCAGGTGCGTGCAGGCCTCTCCCATGCCCATCTGGTGCCACTGCTGCTGGCACACATGGGCTGCCCCCAGGCTGCTTGGTCGCTGCCGCTGCGGGCTTACATTGACCTCTCCCGGGCTCCTCTGGTGCTGCTACCACTGGCGCACTCAGGCCACTCCCACCCGGGCTGCTCTGTTGCTGCCATGGTGGGCTCGCACAAGCCACTCCCAGTCCCCTCTGATGCCGCTGGTTCATGCAGGCCACTCCCGGTCTCGTCGGGCGCCGCCGCCCCTGGCATGCACTGCCACTCTCCCACTACTGGACCGGTGTGTCGGGGTCTGCACCAGTTGGGGTAATGACTGCCAGGCTACTTAGTGCCGTGAGGGGCTTCAGAGCTACGCTGCCGCCCAGGGGGTTAGGGCGCCTAAAGTTCCCCGGGATTCCCAGCTGCTGGCTAAGTGTGCCGGGACAACCTCGTCCAGCTGTAGGGTCCCTGTCTCTTTAAGACTTGCAAAAAGCACTCACTTTTCTTTTGTCTCAGGGGCGCCGGTTGTGGGGACCTGCCCGCAGGTTTTGCTTTTCCATTTCTCTAATATCCAGCACCCCGTGCACCTTGTGTCTGTGCTCCAGGTGCGGATTTCTAGAGCTGGTTGTTTAGTAGTCCTGGGTTTTCACTCCCTCCCCATTCTGACTCCTTTCTTCATGCCAGGTTCTGGGGTTTGGGGCATTCCGGTCCTGCCTGGCAGTGGTTTTTATCTTACCCCCTTCGTGTGACGTTGATTTCTCGCAGATGTAGATGTATCCTGGCTATTGTACTGTATCCACTGGTGTCTCTTTAAAGAATAGTTGCATTTATTGTATTTTCATAACTATATATGTTTTTGGGAGGAGATTTCCACTGAACTACTCACACTGCCATCTTCCCGTGATCCTCAAATTTTTTTTGTTTTTGTTTTTTGCTTTTGTTTTTTGAACTTGGTGTAACTAAAGACGCATGATAGGAAATGGTCTCAGGGTTGCCATCTCAAGTTGCCTTTAAGAATTGCAGACTTCTCTCTTAAATTGCTCAGTAAGGTTTTAAGAATAATCAAAATTTAATTTTTAATAATAATTGGAATTTATTTTAATGAAACCTAATTTAAAAAATTTTAATTTGTAAGAGGAATGTATGCAAATGATAAAAATTCTAATAGTTCAGAAAAATATAAGATTAAATATTGCCTTTTCCCTCATTTCCAAGCCCCTAGTCCCAGTCTATAGAAGCCTTATATCCTACTTGGTAAAAAATAGCCTTCTGGGAAGGAAGGGATAAGGGCAGGGAAAAAGAAAGGGGGCATTACGATTAGCATGTATAATGTGGTGGGGGGGTGCATGGGGAGGGCTGTACAACACAGAGAAGACAAGTAGTGATTCTACAGCATCTTACTAAGCTAATGGTAGTAACTGTAATGGGGATTGTGGGGGGGACTTGGTGAAGGGGGAAGCCTAGTAAACATAATGTTCTGCATATAAGTGTAGATTAATGATAACAAAAAAATAGCCTTGTTTCTTAATTTAGAAATAATCTATTGACTCCTTACTATAAAAATGAGAAATATATTGCCATTTTCACCAGCTCTCCTATCCTCTCCAACTCCTTCTGATTTTTGTTAATTCCTTCTAGAGGTTTCTTTCATGTCTCTAAGTATATACTTACAACTTTGAGTCTTGACTTAGTCCTTTTAGAGATCCTACTCACTCCCTGGAATGAAGTTGAGGACATTAGTGATTCCACTTAACATTCCTATTCACCTTTCCTCTTTCCTCCCACTTTTTGGTGATTTATTATTTTTACATTCCCATAGTGCTTAATAAATACATCTTCCATAGGTGTCACTTGGTTGATTCTAAAAGACTAAAAAGCAACATCAATAATATGGTTATGTAGGTATTATTCAGGATACAACAAAAATTATGTGAATGTACCCAAAGGGAAAAATACCCACAAATTTCCTTTACTTAGTTTTTGCTTTTTGCCTATTGATTGAGGAAGGTCTATATCAGCACATATAAGCCACATGTATCCACAATAAGTGGTTTCATGTTCTGGTTTCTTGTGGTATTTTTCTCCTATCTCTGTACTAGCATAAAGAATGCTGCTTTATAATTTATCAGCTTATGTATGTCCACCTAGCCAAATGTTTTAACTTCTTTTGCCATGTATGGGTGCATGTAACAGACTTGAGTATAAAATGAAAGCTATGGACATTTTCCCCAGAAAAATACACTCACACAGAAAATTTTGGGTATAGTTTTGGCAATTTCCCAGACCTCCCCATGGGTCCCAAAGTAAAAACCTGTGCCCTACATAGTATTTTCTTAAGGGCAGAGATCTTGTCTTATTCTTGTTTTTCTAGCACCTACCTTTCCAAGAGAGCAGTCATTAAATATTTGGGTGTTAGATTAATCCATTATTCACACTTTCTTATGTTGTGTTTTAAGATCTACTTTTGAAATAGAAAAGGTAAGTTTCATCTCTCTAGTTTTTGTTTTGTAGAATCTGCTTTGTAATGAATGCAATCCACTTAGAGGTGGCTTTAAAAATTATGAATTTTGAATGATGCCCATGCCAAGTTGTTCAGGGGTAAAAAGTATTGATGTCTACAACTCTGAAATGTATCAAAACATAAAAGATGTATTGATGGAGAGATGGATACTTATGTAATAAAGCAAATATAGAGAGATGTTCATTGTAGAACCCAGCCCAGTGGGCATATGGGTGTTCACTGTAGAATTCAACTTTTCTAAAGGTTTGACATTTTTCGTAATAATACATTGGAAAAAGTTACTTGTTTTGCTCAAGCAGAGAAAACGATTTTTGTATCTTGGAAGACATAAATCTATCCTTGTTTGCAGAGCTCTTTGGAGAATCTGGATAGTTCCCACAGTACACTCTAAACCAGCACACAAGGCTTCTTTTGGTAGAAAATGATTTTATTAGCGTAACTAGGCAATTTACCAAAAACAAGTTGGATAGCTCAAAATACGTAATTACTACACTGAATACGTGACCCATTTACACCGACTTCGGAAGAGATGCGCCCAAGAGAGGAAAGAAAAGGAATGGTTTTGTGGTTGTAACGTCATTAGTCTTTTAACAGTAAAGTGTTTCACTGACTGCAACCGTGGTAGTCTATTTCAGTTCCTCATTACAAGAATATAATTAGCAAATTTATGCCCTCTCCCATTCCTTATAAATACATTACGATTATACTGCAGGGGTGGAAGCAGTTGCGGAAGCAGGATGTGTAGTCTCCAGGCGCTGCAGTCAGGGTACTTGGGTCCGGATCTACCTGGACTGGAACTGTGAAATGGAGATAATCATGATCTCTACATAATGGAGCTACTGCCCTATAACGTGGAAGGGCAGCAGATGGCCAATTACCATTATTGTCATCAGCTGACAAGTCATACTGTGGCTTGACATGATGGAGGAGGCTGAACCAGTCTCAAAGGCTTTTCCATTTAAAGTTCTGAGGTATGGACTGAGACAACTGATCAGACTTCGGTTCTTATCAGCGCCTCTTCAGAGAAAGGATCCCTAGGAACCCCAGCGCCCGTAACCAGCAAAGCCCTGAACACCTACCCAATTGTAGATCCTGCGCAGGCGCAGGGGTGAGCCCTCGCCCCGCCCTTCCGTGGTGAATGGCCTATTCTATTCCTTCACCAAGTTCCCCCCACAATCCCACAATCCAAGTGGGGGGAACTTGGAAGCCTAGGCCTGGAATAACGTGCGTCACTAGTATTTCCAGCCTCTTACGACATGAGTGATAGTCTGTGATTATTATATTTCTGCCTTGACAGAATTCTGAAAAGAATTCGGCAGGCCTCACCGCCCATCCTCCCCTCCTCACCTGGGAGCGTTAGGCTGGCCAGCGTCACGGCAGGTACGGAAGCCTAGAGGGCCGCGCCCACCCTCGGCGCCCCGCCTCGCCTCCCCGAGCCCCGCAGACTCCCCACCCCGCGGCGCCACCCGGCAGCTCCTCCTCGTCTCCACCCCGCCGGCCGCCGGCGCCGGGGACGTCAGCTCTGCCAGCGTGGAGACCGCTGCGGGGAGCGGGAGGCGGAAGTAGCTCCCGGGACTGCCGGGCCTCCATCGGGCCGCCTCAGCCATGGACGCGTCCCTGGAGAAGGTCCGTACCGGGGGCGGTAGCGGCGCTGCGGCCCGGAGTCCCCGCCTCCATGGCTCTGTTTCCCGGCCGCGAGCTACCATTGTGACCGGGAAGAGGGCCGGGGGCTCACTGGCCCCTCCCGAGGAGGCCTGGCCGCAAGGGCGTCCGACCGGGCGCTTGCGGCCGAGGCTTGCGTCACGGGCCGGGAACTTCTCGGGTCCCGGTAGCCAGCAGAGGCTGGGCCGGGTTCCGCCCGGGGCCCAGTGCGGGGGCCGCGGGGCGGATCTGGGGCCTGCCTGAACTGAGCTCGCCCTTTCGGAGGACACAGCGAACACTTTGCGGCCCCAGAAGCGACTGGAAAGAAGCCCCAGTTGTTTCCGAGCCAGCTACAAACCTTCAGATTTTCCGTGGTCTCCAGGTTTGGAAGAAAAAATGTTAACGTAGTGGTTTTGCAACTTAAGCATGCCCAAGACTCAAGTGGGGCCCTTGGCAAAAATCCGAATTTTCGACCCCCGGATTCGAACCTTTGGGGGGCGGGGCCGGCGTGTTTAATCATCTCTGCACGTGATTTCTGACGCTGTAGTTTGTGAACATCTGTAAGACCCCCGAGGTCGAGAAAGATGTGGGTCTTTTGTAGCTGGCGATTCGTTTGGGGGATTGCTGCTGCTCCACAACTTTCCGACTCCCACTTTCCGTGGCTAGGGGAGACCCTCGTGTCCATCTGAAATCCGCTGGTAGCAGCGCTTTCCTCTGTTTTCGTCTCGGGGGAACAGCAGCGTGATGTCCCTGGCCAACTGCTCTGGCATATAAAATGGATTCTAATGGTCCCGGATCTAGGGCTAGTAAGTGACAGCCAGTGCTTGGATTTCTTTTCTGATAACTATTTTCAGAACCTGACATTCCTCCCTCCCCGAAAGCGCTTCTCCTTGGTCAGGGTTGGGAGTCCGCTTGTGCAGACCCAAGTTTTCGAGCGTGTAGAGTAGAAACAATGCTAGTGTTTTAAGACTGCTTTATTTTAGTTTTTAATTGGCAAAAGTAACAGATTTTGTCATTTTCCAGCGTAGCAGCTGCTGTAGATGTGTTCGCTTGTCACTGAAGAGTTGAAGGGACTAATTATACCAGTTAAGCGAGACGTCTTCATGGGCACGCAGTGGTAGGCTACGCCTCCTGGGTTATTTCTCATAAATTGGAGGGAAGGCAATCAAAAAGATGAATGTTTTTCTTCCATCGCCTGTTGGTAAAGTTACGTTTTCTTTCTGGCTAGGAATAGTCTTTCCAGGCTTTTGATTAGTGCAGTGTCTACCTTTTGGTACTTTGAGTTTGGGTCAGGATCAGTGATTCTCAATCACAGGACAGTTTTGTTCCTCAGGGACATTTGGCAACTTGTCTGGAGACAGTTTTTGATTGTCACAACTTGGGGTGTAGAGCGGTGCTGCTGGTATCCAATGGGTAGAGGCCAGGGATGTTACATGATATCCGGCATTGCACAGGACACCGAACTGGAGAATTATCTGCTCAAAAAGTCAGTAGTGGTGAGGTTCTCAACCCGTGGCCTAGGTCATATGTATAACACCAATAGTTGAATACAAAATTATGCTAAAAATGTCCCTTCAGTGTTGATTCTAGTTTCATAAGAAGATGGGACGGGCTTTGTGTCATTTTAGTTAGGAACTTGAAGAACTGGGGTGATCTTTCCTCCCAGCATAGTTTTTTATAGGATCTGCAAAATGGAGTGTGTTGGAATCCTGCTTTAAAAACGACTTTTCTGGTATTTTATTAGTACCTTGTGGTGGTTGCTCCCTAACTGTAAATTCATGATGAAAGATTTTAAACTCTCCAAAGGCAGATCTGCACAGGTCCTGAAACTGCAGAATGCTTAAGGCTGGAGCATTCACAGAAATTGCAGTGATCTTTTAGGAATTCAGAGTGTGTGGGCTGGAAGTTTCTGCCTTAGGCCAGTGTGGAAACTTTGAATGTAAGTTTTTCAGAGCTAGGACTGTGTCTCATTTTTATATTCTCTGAAGCAATAGAGGACTACATGTAATGAACAATTTCTTTTGGTGCCACGTGGGCAGAAAAGAAGCAGCATTGCTGCAATACAAATGTTGAGGATTTTGTGTTCTGAAAAAGTTTGAATCAGGGTAAAATATTGAATTGTGTCTGTTATTCCTGTTTCTTTGAGGAATAGACTATTCTGGGGAAAATTCTACATTGCTAATATAAACTTGAGAACTGTTTGAGCAGTTCTGAAATGATCTCATTTAAACTGATCCTTGCATAATTTATAGTGGCTGCAGAAACCACAATGTGATTTGATACCCATCCTCTAATTTCGAGTAATTGTTCTCACTCTAAAATGCAGTATGCTACCATCATTTAATAGAATCAGTACTTTTCCTTTAATTCAAATATAATTCTGTACTCTCCCTTTTTTCTTTAGATAATACGTGGCTGGGCTGACCTGTGAGGACAGAGCCACTTTCTTGTCTGGATTTGCTTTTCTTGTATCTGAAATTAGTGATGTCTCAAGAAACCAGACAGATCAATTGAAAGGGCAAGGGATTCAAACCGGAAGAGTTGGAGCAGGCACCTCTGCTTCCCAAAACTGTCCAGCTCATAAGAAACAAGGCCCTATACTACAGTCTCTCAGTGTTTGCCTATGTTAATATTAAAGCTTTCCAAATGCCACAGGAAGTGATTACTCTGATGCTGAAAATCTTAATATTCAACACACCTACATACATTTTTTGGTCAAAACCTGCAACTTTATAAACTTGTAGACCAGCCCAGACCTTTCCCTTTTGCTGGGAAAATCTCATTCTTCCTGGGTATTGTGTTTAGACAAGGTGTATTGCAGTTTGTTTTGTACGTACTTTAATTCCAACCTTGTGTAAACTTAGAACACGCTGTCTCAAACTAAGCATACTGGCCTTTTGGACTGTACAATTCTCTGTTGCGGGTGGCTGTCCTGTGCATTGTGGCGTGTTTACACTATCTCTGACCTCTACCCACTAGGTGCCAGTAGCACCCCGTCCCAGCAGTGTCACAGCCAGAAGTGAGTCCAGATGAAGGAGTTGTCCCCTGGGGAGGGAGAAGGAGGATCTCTGGTTGCGAACCACTGAGAGAATCTGGAACTGCACTGTCCTGTATGGTAGCCAGTACCCACATTTGGCTATTTAACTTCAGATTAATTAAAATTAAATAAAATTTAAAATTCAGTTCCTCAGTTACACTAGCCACATTTCAAGTGCACAGCAGTCACAGTGTGGCTGTGGCTACAGTACCAGACACAACAGATAAAAATGTTTCCATCACCACTATTGGACAGTGCTATAGAGGGGGGCCGATTTGTTCCATATCTAATTCTTGGCCTATTTCTGGCCTAAATAATCAAAACCCAACCCATTTTTGATTCTTGTACTCATCCTGAGCCAAGGTTTTCCCCACTTTAGACATGATTTTGGAAAATTCTTCATAACCTTACTGTTTTTGAGTTTATGGAAGCAGGAGCATGAATGGAACATTCTAATCATTTTGATATGGACTACCAGAATTTCTACTCTACCTTTTTACTTCAGAAACTTACAAAAAGAATCCCTGGTAGCCAAGATTGAAATGACCAGTTCTGTGGTATGCTTTTGAAGGTCCCACCCTTATATAGAAGAGGGAGACTTCTGTGAGCAGGTGCTGGCCTGTCATTTTAGTGTTCATTTAAAGCTGATCCCTATATTATTGGAATGGGAGGATTTTTGCATACAGGTGCGGGGTGGATAAGTGGTAAATGATTATCAAATGTGTGTGTCTGGGTAAACATGTTACAAAATTCCTGATCCTAAAAATTTATGGCCTTGGTGCTTGATTTATTGAAGATTTCATAGGTGGTCAGTAGCAGAGCTGCTGACGGTCTCCACTCCCATAGTGTTCTTCCTTATCGAGGATTATGAGTTATAGATAGGAGCTGCTTGGTCTTAATGTCATCTGTTTTTGCTGAAGGCAGCTTTGGTCAAAGCCCAGGGCTGAGTGCTGAGGGAGATGCAGTGTGTAAGACATGACCCCTGCAGGAGGTTATGTTCTTGTAAGGGGCATACATGTATAGACAATCCTTGTCTAAGGAGGGGTAAAAAATTATAGCAGAGATTAAGAAACAAATGGAATGCCTGGAGTGGGTGGCCAGGAAAAACTTTGTGGAAGAGGTTCTTTAGGTAGAATATTTAGTTCAGAATCATGGCTTTTCTAGAGTTTTTAAAAATTGTAAACATAATGTAGATTTTTACTTTAGGATATGATTGTGCCTTGTGTTATTACCTGTAGAACATGAAAGGAAAGCCATTTAATCTTTTAAAGTTAAATCAAGTACAAAAAAAAAGACACCTCCAGTCACTTTGAAAATGTCCAAAAATTCCGTTCAGAAATTTGATTTATCTAGCTTAAATCGGTCCACCCTTTCTAAGCAATATTCAAGGGCCATAAAATTATTTTGAATTAAGCTTTTGTTAATTGTTCTTACTATTGCAATAGCTTTTTGCTTTGTGGCAAGTGTTAAGTATCTAGCTGCTTTCAGGTTAGATAGTCCTTGAGTTCTAACCTGGAGCCTTGTCTTCTCTTTGTTTCTGTGGAAAATGTGTTCTGAGTTTCAAATGACTAAGCAAGGAATAAACTTTTCTAATATAACCTTTTTCCTATATACAGAAAAACAGAAGAAGCTAAAAATAAAGCCTTTTTGCTTTGAAAATGCACCTCAGTGACAATGAATATTTAGCTACAGTGAGCTTTTCAGGATCTTAGGGGAACTGAGTTACCTGTTAGACTAGATGTTGTAGTAGGTGAGATCATATGAAATTGCTGTTTTTGTGCATTAAAAACAGTTGAATATTGACAGTTTCACTCAGTTCAACCTTAAAAGTGTAAAGATAATGGATGCACAGAGGCTTCAGGAATTGATGGGTTCCTTTCCTCAGAATTCCTCTTACTGTTTTTAAGATAAGGCTGGTAACATTACTCCTACACAATTCCAATTCAATTTTAGAAAGAATGATATCGATAAGGATAGTGGATATCTTTGTCTTTCTGATTTGATTCCCCAATAAGACCTAGGAAAACACTCCCTATAAGAAGTGTTATCTCAGTGAAAGACTTTTTCCAGTGATATCATTCTTCTGTTTGAGTAGTTTTTTGTTCCAGAATGTGTGTGACTCCAGATAAACAAGTAAACTTTTTAGAAATAGAGCTTGCTTGATGTATGGTATTTTTCCATCTGTGTGGTTGTTGGGAAGCATTTACTCAAATGTCCCACTGAATTGATTCTATAGAAGTAGTAGTCTCTGGGAATACATTTTTTAAAACTTAGGTCCCTGAATTCTCAACACATCTTAAATCCAAATGATTCGAATGCCCTTCATTTCCCTCAACATCCGTCTG